TACGATTATTGTCTGAGGAATAATCACGGTTTTACGATTATGACGATTATTATGCATTTATTAATTTCCCAACATTACTAATGTATAAAATCACATTAATACTCTTTAGATATTAAAGTGTTCTCTGATAAGCACGTCATTTTAAGCTGGTGCACCGCTAGTGTAACTTTGTTTTCATTTTGCGCAAGCTGCAACAGTTCCGTTCCGTGTAACAGAAACACTCGGTTTAGCGGAACCTTTACAATTAATTAACCGTGACGTTTTAAAGCGCGGTTAATCCCGAAACCGGTTAATCGCTGCATCCCTAAGTATGAGTAACATATTAAACTGTAAAAACAAAAACACAAAATATATCTAAAATGATAAACCTAACATTTCAGTCTTTAAACCATTTTTTAAGAAAAGAGATGAGTCAGAAGTATAAATTCTTATATTAATTTAAAATAGAGTTAAATGAGCTGATGGGGGGAAACAGCAGATAGACTTATTGAAAATCCTATTTGATTCTCTGCCAGTAGGAGGCGCTTTTGGAACATCAAACATACAGTATAATGGTTTCCTCAGTAACGGCTGTAAACAAAGCAGGGCTGTGCTCATGAACGCTACTTTATCAGATAGAGTTGAAATGCAATTGAAACTTTTCTGAAGGCACTCGGTTTCTTTCAGAGATACATATAAAAACACCCACGTCACATCATTGCTTGAATTAGTAAAAATGAGTAAAGTGTAGACTATAGCCTATAATGTGGAAAATGCACGAGGAAAGTCCTCTGATGAGTTACCAGAGTAAAGGCCCGTTCACACCAAGGACGATAACTATAAAGATAACGATAAAGATATAGTTCTAAAAATCGTTCTCAATATTAAAGAATAGCAGAGTCCACACCACAACTATAATGATAAAGACAAAGAGAAACGATATCGTTGGAATCACTTTCAGAACGATTTTTCTCCTGCTGATGAACGATAAAAAATTGACAGCCAATCAAAATCCATCCTGCTGTAACAAGCTCAAGAATTTAAAGCGGCAGACGTGTGTGCGCTTAGAATAAATATCTTTATCGTTATCGTTCGCTGGTGTGGACGCTAATATTGTTATCTTTATAGTTATCGTTCTTGGTGTGAACGGGGCTTAAGCCTAGTGGCAGGGCTCAGCCCCAGACGGCCCCGGCCCAATTTAACCCCTGGTTGTTCCCAACATATAAAAAGCTGTTGTCAGTGCCAGCCCGTAGGGTTGTGGAGCCCTAGGCAAGATAATGAAAATAGGCCCCACTAGTGTAAAAATTGTCATAGCAATTTAAACATATGACAAGTCTGTCTGTGATCATGGGCATCATTGCATTTATAAATCAAATACTAATACTAAAGCAATAAATATTATGTATAGCAGTCAGAACATCCTTTTTTTCCCCGGCTACATAAAGATACCGCTTGGATTCCATTTCTACTACAATTTCACTTTATTTGCCAGAAATTATAAAGAACACTAAGTTTGCTGTGCCTGTTTAAAGTTGTTTTTATATATCAATATGACTACTAATAATTCTGATTATAGTTATAACTAAATAAATCATTAAACAAAGTAATAATTATTGATAATGATTATTATTAATATAGTTTACAGAAAACTGCAGCAGGTTTATAATTGTTTAGAAATGTCTAAGGATTTATTATAAATGATTATGATTAAAAATCATTAACAGTAATTTCTTAATTATTGTCAGGAAATTTTATGCATCCACTGAGAGAGACAGAGAGAAAACTCCTCTACACTGGAGAAAAACTTAGAAGTATTATTTTTTCCTATTTTTACCCAAAATAAGGAGTAGTGAGTAGTGAATAGCTGAAGCTGTTTCATTCATACTGGTAGCCGGAGGGCGCCCTCGTGCAGTAAAACCATAAGTGAAAAAATCATAAAATGAAATACTCACAAAAATCACTTTGGAGGAAATCCCTAATATGGACAAAGGCATATGCTATCGCTGCAGTAGCAGAATAAAATGCAGATAGGACGTTTTAACTGATGAAGAATGAAGACAATAAACACACGATTGTGACTAAATTGTGTGTCTCTGTTCTTCAAGCCATCACGGGTATTTTTTTTATATGCATAATGTATATTTATAATGCAATGCTCATCGACATAGCCTTTATCACTGTATAGAATATTCTAAAATGATTTTGCCTCATTCTGTGATATGAAACCACGTCAGATCACAAAAGGAAGTTATTTCAAACACTCGACTGATGTTATGAAATGAATTTAGAGCAAAAACGTCATTAAATGTTTTTAAACGCACTGTACATCTGGTGCATCATCTGTATGTGTGTTGACCTAAAGGGGCGCTGCAGATCGATAAGTGTTGGACATTAAAGTACTGCAATAGGATAGGAAAGCATGCAGAGCTGTCCATTAGTATATAGCTCTCGCGGTACTTCGATGTCAAACACCGATCTGTCTGCACCGCGCCGCTTCAAGTCGAACACACCTTGAAATTTAATTAACAACCTCGCGACCGCGGGGCCCTCCCCTTAAGGTGGGGCCCCAGGCGTCCGCCTGTTGGACAGGCCGGCACTGGCTGTTGTGCATGTGTGGGCACGGGCTTGAGCCCGTCCTTAGTCAAGGCCCAGTCATGTTCCCCCTCTCTCCCTGTACTTTACTCTCAAATCTCCACCATCTTGTCAATCAAAGGAATAAATAAATAATATACGCATGGTGGTTGTCGCAACATAGGTCATTTTTGTAATATCTCAATGCTACAGACACACATATGCTGCAAAAGCTCAATGCTACAGACACACATATGCCGTGAATAGTGTAAAATGATTTGTTATTGATTTAATTTTCATCTCTGTTTGTCTATAGGTGCACATGGGCACCCATATGTGGAATAACACTCCTGCCCGTAGAGGTAGACGTCTGTCTGTGGAAAACCCAATTGCCCTTCTGGGCGGTGATGCCCTGAAATTCAGCGAAGCGTTTCAGAAGGATTTAGCAGCGCGGGCCATGAATGTGGACCAAAATTTCTGGAGCCGATATGCAGCAGCTATAACTAATGGCTTAGCAATGAGGAACAATGAAATATCCGTCATTCAGAGTGGAGGAGTCCCCCAGCTTCCTGCCATTACTGTGGCCACGGACAAGGCTAGCACTGGAAACAGCCCACCAATCACAGCCATGGAAAAAACAGGCTTAGAAAGGGGTGCTGGACAACACTTCTCCATGATGATTGATGACAAAAAAGACATTGGAATCAGTTAAAGTAAAGGTGACATATTCTTTCTCCTTGCATAAGGAACATTGAAATAAACGTGTCTTGATTTTTTAAAATCAGAATAAACTCTTTAGAATGTGCTTGATTCATGTGGGGAAAGATTCAGTTTATCTTATGCTATAATGGCACTTGTTTTTTTGTGTTTTTTTTTTTTATTGTTGAAACTGAGGCCACGCTTAGTTTTTCAATTATGTCCACTGACTGAAACCTTACACTTGATTCAAGGGCATTGCTTTGAAATGAAATTAATATTTTATGTTGTAAATATGTATTTTATTTTATTTGTTTTTGCCCTCTGATTCTGCTGTCAAACATTGCTCTATTCATGGGAAAGGGAACATGTTTGCATATATAATAGAAACTTTTCATTCCGACACTGTGGTCTTAATATAGCTACAGCTGAAAGTATGTAACTTAAATCCCCGAGCAAAAGATAAAGAAGACATTTCAGAGTCTTTGAAAAGAAATGTATTATTCTTTGACATCCCACTGCTTTGCTGCTATGCATTGGATGCAAATCGTTTATTTTCATGCAAATCAAGTACACCACCATGAAAGTTAGTGTTATTTTAGCTGTCATCAGCAATGAAACGTTCCATCTTATACCAGCCTGTGTTATTATATTATATTATTAATGCTAATTATGTGTTTTATGCTATTCTCTGCCTTATTTACTTTTACATGCAAAATTATTTAGTGGGCCAACATGAGACTATGAACTATAATATGATTGCTAATAAAGAACTTGCATTAAAAACACCTTTACACTTCAGTTTAAAGTATAGTTATCAATGAAGCCCTTTTGATGCATCTGAACGTGTTGCAGGACAATTCTATTTCACAATTTAGAGGTATGTTTTCCTATCAAGAACAAAATAAATAAATGTTTCCAGAAACATTAATGTACAAGGGAAAATAAAAAAGTTAAAACAATATGCTTGTCTGTAATGGTAGCTTATGTCTTATTTACTAAGCGTGTCATGTCAGGACATTTTAGTGTTTTTATTTTATTTTATTTTGTAGTGCTATTTTCCTTATATAATATATTGTTTAGTGTTGGGAAAAAAATGTAAAAAATTTGAACGAGCAGTTTTTTTTCATAAGATAAGTAATGGTGAAACAAGGGACGGGGTATTTGATGTGTCCTCTGCATAAAAAGGAGACACTATTTTTGTACTCAGATACATTATAACAAATAAAAAGTATTCCAGGTTTGCTTTTCTGTCTGCACATCAGTATTTTTACATGAAACAACTGAGGTGGTGTCTCAAACACACACTGACTGAACTGGATTCGTTTCTAAGATGCAATATTGCTGCAACCCTCAATAAATAAATCTCAAACAAAATATTTAGTTTGTGTCACCTTACTTGTAAATTGTAACAATGTGGAGAAAAGGCTTCACTCTATATCTCTATCTCTGTCTTTCGGTATGTGTCTGTGTTGTAACGTAAACTTGTGTCAGACATTGTTATAAATATATATACACTTAAATAATTATATTATTGTTATTTAAATGCAAAATATTGGCCTCATTTGGGAACAAAGCCTTCAAAGGACAGCAGGACAACACTGATAAGACGTCTAATGTTAAACCATCAACGATAGCCCATGAATTCAATTAAAATAAAATGATAGACGTTCAAAATAATTTTTCCAGATTACAGCAGATATTTCCCTCACTCTAGTCCGGACGTGACGACATTCATACGTAGCCGAGCAAAGATGGCAGACAGCATCCCTCTGAATCCTGTACGGAAGAATTCAAGAAAAACTGCGTATTATAATGCTGGTAGACCTGCCAGGTATGTAGACGGTAGGATATTAAACTTAAACACTGTTTTTAAACACAAGACTCTCATCTGAGTTGTTACAATAACGTATGTGTCGATATTGGGTTTGTTTATACCACGGTTCCGGAGTTCAGTGCTAACGGGCTAACGCTAGCGGCAGTGTCAGATTACAGTTGATAGCACGTGAGAGGATACAAGACTCCCAGAGAGATGCCTGTGGTGATTAAGACGTGATATAATCATGTGAGATGTTTGTCATTCCTGTTCCTACTCATGAAACATCTTAGGTACATTCACTGAAGCGTATTATGACACGCTCATGAGATACTCTGTAGCTGTGAGTACATTTGTGGAGCATCTCATGTAAAATCACATAGAATATGTATATAGAACATTCATGAAACATCACAAAGCACCTAAAACACAATTCACGTGCGTCAGGTACATTCATAGAATATGTCACGAGTTTTTGGTTTATCATTAGACCATCTTTGTTCCATCTGTAGCATATCTCGTACAGCATCTAATTCGCCTCAGGTAACGTTATTATACGCGTCACATGCCATGGTCTTCTGATTCTGAGCTTGACGAGATATCGCTGCAAACTGTTTTCTCACGGTTTATGCGAGGCAAATATGGCAAAGATATTCATTTAGGAACTATTGTCCATCTGGTTTTCATGAACCGCATAAACAGCCTAACAGCAGACAGGATCTGTATTTATGGCATCCAGCTCTTTGTCAAATACTGACAGTTAAGGACCACTTGTGGCATTGCTGCTTGAGAGTATAGACCAAAACCAAAGTGATTGCTTAATTTGATTTCATTGTTTGGGGTAATGCTATTGCACATAATCACTTTGTAAATCGTTTTGTGTTTTATTGAGGAGGAAAAAGAAGAGCAGAAGAACTGACCACAGTTAGGAGAGATTCATTGGACCACCAGCTATGTTTGGATCATACTTTGCTTATTCTGTTGTCTTTCTTGATTTATATGGGTGGTTAAGCAGATTTGGTGGTGATCTGATTTCTTTTATCATACAATTGAATATAAATATCAGTGGTGGGCCTGCGAGCTACGAATGTCTTGCATTGGCCCTGCTCGACTGTATAATTTTATGATTACAACGGTCAGCTAACTTAGTTGTCTTTATTTTGACGGTTTAACCAAAAAGTATTTTTTAATGGACATCAAAGGCTAAAATCCACAGACACATGTCAGAGTGATATGTTTTTGTTGACATACCTCAATAATAACTTGCCTACTGTGGCAGGAACCGATTAGCCTTTGTAGAGCTAATATTTGTCATTTCCCATTAGTTCAAAGTCTCTTATAATGGCGAATCTCACGAAACTTGTCAAGAATATGTCTGGACCATATTTCGCCCCGAAATCATTGAGAAATTATTATGCATAGCCAGCTATAAGTGAACCATGTGTAGGTTGATTGTTTGAGCATCCTGACTTACTCATTTACCCTCATATTGTTTCAAACCCATAAGACTTTCATTCATCTTCAAAATGAAGGTATTTTTAACAGTTCACCCAAAAATGAAAATGTGCTGAAATAGTACTCCTCCTCAGGCCATCCAAGTTGCCTTCAGAATAAGAGTTCAGTCAGCTGATTAAAACATCACGACGATAATGTATAATTAATCCCCACAACTCCAGTTTGGAAGAAACAAATCCATCATTAAGGAGTTTTAACTTTAAACTACTGTTTCTGCCCAAAACACAAGCCTTAATGATAGATTGTTTCCTACAAACATGCTGCTTTTCGTTTTACAAGACGTTAATTGATGGATTGGAGTCATGCTGTGGATTACTGTGGATTACTTTTATCAGCTGTTTGGACTCTCATTCTGACGGCACCCATTCACTGCAGAGGATCCATTGGTGAACGTGATGTAATGCTAAATTTCTCCAAATCTGTTCAGATGAAGAAACAAATTCATCTTCTACTCTATATCTACTTTGGATGTCCAGAGGTTGAGTAAATTTTCATTTTTAGGTGAACTATTCTTTAATCACCTGAGAGATTTCTGTTCCTCCATTGAAAGTCCATTCCACCAAAACATTCAGGATTCGAAAAGACATTGTAAACAGTCCATATAAATTGAGCGTTTTAATCCAAGTGTTCCAAGTCACTTTATATGATGAACAGATTTAATTTAGGCTATTATTTACATATAAACATTGATCAACATGCATACATAGAGCACATTAAATATGGTAAAACATGTTCAAACATGCTTGATTTTTTGAGCAAGTTTAATGGTGATCTGATTTCTTTTACCATACAGTTCAGTAAGTGCAGTACCCTTCACTACACAATGTGGGCGTCCGGTGTGTTGCGGAGGATCAAATATGATTCACTCTCTGAACTCTCAAATGTATTTCTTCCTGATTCATTCTTTTAGTGGAAAAGGGAGTGTTGCTTTTAAGATCCCTAGGACTAGAGTTTGTAGGTTGTTAATGTCCTCCATTGTGAGTGTATTACGCTTCTTTAATAATTTAACAGACACAATATCATTACCTGAGGAGGCCTGTTCAGTCAGCAAGGTTTGAGGCTGGTAGGTATTATGCTTTTTTCAGTGTTCAACTGCAAAAGCCTGTCAGTGTTTACAGTGGTCACCGAGGCCTAATTGCATGAATTAAATCTATCCACAGACAGCTCTAGAGTGAAAAGGGAGTGTGCAGGTTTTGACGCTAAGGCTAAAGTGGATCTGGTGCAGAAACGGTCAGGCTTTTGTGTGGGTGGAAGTTGATATCCTCTCGGGATGTCGGCTGTTTCAGAGTGTCACAATAGCATTCTGCTGATCTGGGTTTGAGACTCGTCTCGATAAATGAGGAACACAGTGTGAGAGAGGAACAGATCCCTCGACTTCTGCATTTTTTATTCCACTCATTCATGTAGGCGCCTTTAAAAATGTCCTTATTTCATTGCATAATGTCTTTTTTAAATTTGAGAGTTAATAATGAAAGTAGGAATGCTGTTTTGGGAAACAAACAGTGTCTGTTTATTACATTTGTGACATGACATCTTAATTCGAAACAAAATCTATGCTCTTTTTGTAGCTTAGCAATTATTTAGCTTTTTTTAGGTAGGTGTGGCTAACTCTTAACTTTTATAAAGAATATCTCTTTGGATTTGAGACTTTAGTCTTTGCAACTTTACAGATCTTCTTTATGCACCAAGAGCTTGGAACACTCTAAAGAGAAAGGAAAAAATGAAATCGCATCATATGACCCCTTTAAAATGTTTCCTACAATATCCCAGTGCTCTTAAATTAGTCAATTAGACTTAGTATTTGTCAGTCTAACATGAACCACTTTTTTAACTTGACTGTGTGTCACAAAAATGCCAAATATAATGCATGGGCCAAAGACGTCTCTCTGATGCATACTTACACACGACAACAATTAAAAGATATCATGAGAACCTTTTCTTTGTGAATGGCCTCAGATTTAAAACTTGATTACAAATAGTTTGGTTTTGACTGTAAAGGCCTGTTTATATCATAACTATAATTATAAAATTTTAATAAGCTAATTCTATGAGAACAGGGAAGTCCATACCTCAGTTATAACCATAACAACACAGAGGAACGATATTGTTGAAATAACGTTCAGAATGTTTTTTTATTTCTAGTTGAAGAATGATAAAACATTGATATTCAGAATCAGACTTTAAAGAGCTCAAGCTTTTAAAGCGGCAGACAACAGAACTGCAGTCCAGTTACGTGTATTACTGTCAAATACCTTACATTTTTCGATTCAATTTGTCATGGGTATTTGATCAAATCTTCATAAAATATATTGCATGATGATGATTTATTTTTGGTGCTTTCTCTTTGTTTTGTTTTAGGTTCTTTACCAGCAGTTTAAGTTCTTCCTCAACTTGTATTTTTTGGTAGTGGCTTGTTCTCAGTTTGTTCCATCACTAAAGATAGGATATTTGTACACTTACTGGGCCCCGCTGGTGAGTACATCCAACCACACAAAGATGGAAATTGAACTCAAAAATATAAATTCAGTAGTTACTTTTGTTGTTCCTTTTTTTTTTCTTGTCGTCCAGGGCTTTGTGTTGGCTGTCACTATGGTGAGAGAGGCAGTTGACGAAGTTCGGCGCTGCAGGAGAGATAAAGAGATGAATTCCCAGCTGTACAGTAAACTCACAGTGAGAGGTGACCACAATGTAACACATCCTGATGATATTATACATGTTATGTAATATGAACAGAGCATCATGTTTTGAACTCCATTGACTCTCCAAGAGTTACTTCATTTGGAACCTATGAAGATGATGTATTAATGGAAAGAAATGATAATGAGTTTATCTGCCGTTTTTTAAAGGGGTCATCGGATGCAAAATTCACTTTTGTTGTTGTTCCTGTCAGAATGACGTAGTTCTGTATAGGCCCCTCCCACGATAGTTGATTGACAAGGCCGTCTTACCTTAGATCCGCCCTGAGTGAGCTGTCATCAGTTCGCCATTGTGTCGACTCCGGTGCAGGGGAAGACAAGAACGTCTCAGATTAAGCGATTGAGGTGTTCTGTTGTTGGATGTAATAATGAACATAGCAGTCGTCATTTACTCCCGACATCTGAGCCGCTGAAGACGCAGAGGATTAACATTACTTTTGATTTGAAGGGAATGCGACGATCCCCGGTCTGCCTAAATGCGTTTATGTTTGCGCGAATCATTCGTGATCCAGCGACATCTACAGAAGAAGTGTGTATAAGGTTTTTTTTTATGAATCTTTGCAATTCGCCTTTCCTAATATGTGCTAGTTAGCAAGTTTCGTGGCTGAAGTTTACAGTCTGCTTGTCACCCCACGGAAGAGAGGGGCGGTGTGAGCAGAGCTCATTAGCATTTAAAGCAACATGGACTAGAACGGCGTGCTGAAAACAGCTGATTTTGACATGGTAAAAAGGGTGTTTTTTACACTACCATTGAGAAATTTTAACCAAAGTATGTTATAGACTTTTCATTAAGACCCCAAAGAATCATATCAACTTGTGGAAAATGGGCATCCGATGACCCCTTTAAGTGATTTGTGCTGTTTACATTGTAGGTAGGGACATCCAACATTTTAGACCGCTAAAATCGTTTACCTCAGGTTTTGCAATTGTTGTAAAATTATACAAATGCATGCATTATATAATTAGTTTATTAAATATTTAATCACTATTAATCTTGCATTTTATTAGCATCCGGTTTAATGTAAGATATCTAAATAACATGAAATTATAGTGTTTGACTTGTATTTATGTCACTCGTCTCACCTGTTCAAAAAATACACTATATTTCTCTAACTATGCAATATGCAATTCAGTAACTTTATGCAAAATATGCAATTTAATAATTTTAGGAACGTTATTACATGTGTAAAGGTCAAAGCCTCCACATTTCTGTGAATGACGGTGCTTTACTCTTGGGTGACATGTCACTTGTTGATCTTTGATGATAATTCAATTTCACCATACAAAGAATGCAAATGACTTCTGTTAAACGCCCTGTCTATAATTTAGAAATAAATTATCCATAAAGAATGTCTTTCTCCATCTAGTGGGAAACGGGTACTCTGCTTGGGGCTTTTTTCTACATGTGTGTGAAATCTTAGCGACTCTGTTCAGTCCCAGTCAGCTAGAAAAAATCACACAGAACAGAATGAAAGTTGTGAAATCAAACAGATAATCCTACTTGATATGTTAACTTTGACAATCCTAATATTTATCATTTTAAAAAGTGTCTTTATTAAATATAAATTTGGGCGCAGGTCTCATTTATCACCTAAGGCTAAATAATTCATTTCTAATTACAATTATTTGTCCATCTTGTTTTTCAGGGAAGGTCCAAGTAAAGAGCTCAGACATACAGGTTGGAGATTTAATCATTGTGGAAAAGGTTTGTTGTCCTTTTTTTTATCCCTTCCTCTCTTTTGTTGTTCAAGGTATCAGCATAAACTTGCTGCTACGTGATCCGTCACATGAAATCCTGTCATTCTTTCAGTGGGACATTGTGTCTGTCTCTCCCCTCGCTGTCTGTGGTTCGCTTTAATTGCTTGCTAGGGAAATGACCTTGTTCAATTATTCAACGCAACGCTAAAATAGGACTAACGTTACAGAACCGGAGTCAATAACATACGTATATGGCCACATTATTGCTAAGTTCAGCATAACTAATATATTAATATCTCTGAAGATTCTATGCTGCCTAGGTGGGCAACTCACTCATTTTTAAAACGGAGATAGTACGGAAAGCCCATCTGCCTCTGACCGATGTGTAATGTTTTGTTTTATAGAATCAGAGAATTCCTGCTGATATGATTTTGCTGAGAACCTCAGAGAAATGAGGAAAAAAAATTAACTTAAATGATTTTAGCAAATGGCTGCAATATAACAAAGAGTGAAAAATTTAAGGTGGTCTGAATACTTTCCGTACCCACTGTATATTAATATCTCTGAAGATTCTATGCTGCCTAGGTGGGCAACTCACTCATTTTTAAAACGGAGATAGTACGGAAAGCCCATCTGCCTCTGACCGATGTGTAATGTTTTGTTTTATAGAATCAGAGAATTCCTGCTGATATGATTTTGCTGAGAACCTCAGAGAAGACTGGTGAGTTTGACTGTTCACATACAAGCGAAGCTTTCAGATGATAACTACTTGTGTCATTAGTCAGTGGTTTCCAACAGTGTGCCCGCGGGTACCTTGTAGCCCATATGGAGCCTGTGAGCCGCTTGTAGAGCTCATTCTATGAATTGAAGTTTTATTACTTAATTTTCTTATATATAAAAAATTTAGATAACAGTTCATTTTTTGTAAATTTATGAAGTCAATTCCACCCAAGTTCACACAAGTGTCTTACCACAATTAGTTCATCAGATTAACTATGCACGTTCCACTAGCGTTTTATAACCACAAAGTGTCCAAATGCTTTGTCTTAATTTTGAACAATTTATCTATTGTTTTATCTTTTGATTAGCTCTGATTCTCTTGAAAAGTGTGCTTTAATAGCCTCTTGGTTTTGTAATTTCTTGTGAACACTGCTGGTGCTTCACTTACTAGTTTAAAGTGGCACTTTTAATTCTTGCATACTGAGTAAGAATGTTCTCTGTGTGAAAGTGAGAGAGTGTGTGTATGATTACCAGTGTTTACCTGGCACGGAGCCATATAAATGACTTAGTCACATTATGATACATTGTTACAGTATTTTGGGGGTGTACAGCTTTCGCCAGATGCTGCAATTGCTTTCTATAGATAGCAAAATTAAAATCAGAAAAGCTTAAAAAAATTTTTTTTCTTTTATCTGTTTCTGGTTTTTAGCTGTGGTAGACTCTATATAGCTCTTTAAAGTTACTTACATTTTAAGATTTTTAACAATTTGGAAATAATATTATAAAATACTTTTCAGTCTTTTATGCTGTAAATTTTAGCTTAATTCCATTTCTCATGTTTGCTTGCTAGATCTTTTGTATCTATAAATATTTCCAGTTTTTCTGTATCTAGAAATATTTTCAGATTTGATTCATTTTTAAAATGGACAGTTAAAATAATAGTGAATAGTAATTATTATTTTATTTATACATTAACCATTTCTTGGTGAGCAGATGCTCTGTTGTGTTGTATATGGAATACTGAAACGTAATGAACATGTCCATATTTCACCCAGCATAATTTATTTATGTATTTATTTATTTATAGGGTCCTTTTTTTTGCATTATCGCTTACAATTTCCACAAATTTTTTTCCTTAAAAATAGATATATATGTGTGTGTATTATCTTTATTTTCATATTGTTCATATATGTGTGTGTGTGTGTGTAGACATTTTGACAGGTTGTGCTTCAGCAAGGTTTGATACTTTTGGCAATCTCAGTATATAGAGCATGATGAACACTGAAACTTTTGCTCTGAGAGCTTAAAGACAATGACCTTTCCTGTCTATTGCCTACGGTTATATCAGTCTTGTCCAAGATCAATATGAACAATATGTTAAGCATTCAGAGTTCTTTAGTGTATAGGGGCCAAGGTTTTGGCCCATAACAAATGCGTCCTTCACGCATACGTCTCCATCCCTCTCACTTTTCTAAATAAAGATAATACACCAGAATGGATTATTGGAAGTTGTCAGGTTAAATTTGACTTTTGAAAGAATATTTTTTTTCTGTCAGATTTAAGATAATGTATTTGTTTTCCAGGTTCGTGTTTTATTAGAACAGATGTGTGTGTGTGTGTGTAGACATTTTGACAGGTTGTGCTTCAGCAAGGTTTGATACTTTTGGCAATCTCAGTATATAGAGCATGATGAACACTGAAACTTTTGCTCTGAGAGCTTAAAGACAATGACCTTTCCTGTCTATTGCCTACTGTTATATCAGTCTTGTCCAAGATCAATATGAACAATATGTTAAGCATTCAGAGTTCTTTAGTGTATAGGGGCCAAGGTTTTGGCCCATAACAAATGCGTCCTTCACGCATACGTCTCCATCCCTCTCACTTTTCTAAATAAAGATAATACACCAGAATGGATTATTGGAAGTTGTCAGGTTAAATTTGACTTTTGAAAGAATATTTTTTTTCTGTCAGATTTAAGATAATGTATTTGTTTTCCAGGTTCGTGTTTTATTAGAACAGATCAGCTAGATGGAGAGACAGACTGGAAGCTGCGAATCGCTGTTGCTTGCACTCAAAGACTACCTGCCTTAGGGGTATGAACCTCGTCTTGCACAAAAACAGTACATTTTCGATATTGCTGTGATCGTAATGCCTGTTAATAATAAATTATACAAATATTTGGCAATTGCAGCACGCTTGACTTCTTGTATGAAATACGATGTTATGATCTAGTCCTAGTCTTTTACATTTCAAGTCTATTAATGGTGCATTTATGCTTGGCACATATAAATGTTTTATACCAAAGTAGTAGTGCTGGGCGGTATACCGGTTCATACCGAATACCGGTGTTTATTTTTGTTATGATATTCATTTTTAAAATACCGCAATACCGGTGTATGTCGCTTAAACAACGTTCGGAACGCAACACTGTTTGAAAGGGGTCCCTTTTCACTGTTGCACTGTGGTGAGGGAACAGCTGTATGTGTTACTAAGCGTGAAAGTTCAGAAACTGAAGCTGTAGAACTAATAGAACGTGATGACAGAAGAACACATCCACATTGACCGCCACAAATATCCACCGCCCCCTGCCATCAGCTTCCGCGTCTCACACACACGAGCGCGACTTTAGCACTAGATTTAGCAACTTTCAGACCCTTTTTTTTTCTGTCAGATTTAAGATAATGTATTTGTTTTCCAGGTTCGTATTTTATTAGAACAGATCAGCTAGATGGAGAGACAGACTGGAAGCTGCGAATTGCGCTTAGAATAAACAGACGATATCGTTCGCTGGTGTGGACGCTAATATCATTATCTTTATAGTTATCGTTCTTGGTATGAACGGGGCTTTAGATGATTTGAGCTGTCAAAGACATCATCACCCATCTACTTCTGGAGCAAAAGCTGCTGCATCCCAAATCACATTTCAGCTCCTTCTGTTCTGCTCTCGGATGGGTCTGTAACTTTACCCCCCTAGACAGTGAGTGATGTGTCCCACACTCAGACTCTCTCAGGCTGATGATACGAAGGCTCATGTTTGATATCACTGTGTATCTGATTTACTGGCCGGAGGGTTTGTTTCACATGGGCCGGTAACTTTACCCCAAGAGACAACTGGAATCCGCCAAACGGCCTGTCTCCCGGTGCCATCGGTGTGGAGATGACACTCACCTCGAGCAAGGGTTCACGTTTGTATTTGTCTTTCCGAAACCACTTAATGTGATCACAGAATTAAAATTTCAGCAAGTTGCCGAATGATTGCTGCAGTAAAGCAGCGGGAGTGGTCGGATCAGGTGTCTGGTGGGCTTGACGGTCAGATTGCTAAACATCCCTGTTTTTCATACTTGCGGATACGTCATCGAATGCAAAAGTCATTATAATTTCTAAGCAGCCAGTCAAAGTTTCGTTTTGTTTTAATTATGTTGTTTTGTCTGCATTATCTGTTCTGTTTGAAATTCAGACTTGTGGCAGGATCTCAGAAGGGGCTTATTTTCATGAGAATCACTCTGATTGCTAGTCACTTTAAGTCCTGCCATAATACTTGCACGAACAAGAGGTTGGGTTTGGGCCAAGCCCAGAACTTTGTTCATCGGCTGACATTTCTGGTGCTGATTTATTGAGGTAATGTTTTTTCTTGACCTTTTCCGCTTACTATCCGCAGGATCTCTTCTCTATCAGCGCGTACGTTTACGCCCAGAAGCCTGAACTGGACATTCACAGTTTTGAGGGGAACTTCACATGGGTAAGAAAAACTGCTGTTAATGAAGGAATTTTTACGAGGCTTTGTTTAGCATGAGCTGTGACATCACAGCCCCAATTTAAACCCGTTGTTAGGTTTTTGTAGAGGTATTTAATGTTGTGTTGTTGCCCAGTAAACTAAACTTAACCGCTGTTTTTAATTGCACATTAAAATAACATGGATTCTCAAAGTGTGCCTGTTCACATGACTGAGCTGAAGTGTCTCTGGAATGTAAAACCAGCCAACAAGAAGCATTCCTTGCAACGCTGATGACATCACGGGTTGTTAGGCTCACTCCCAGCCCATTGGGCGAGCACAGTTCCTTATTAACAGCAGATTAGCGCAGTACCGGAGAAAGAGAGAGGGAGGAAAAAGAAAAAAGAGACCCCCCACATGAAGCCTGTCTTTGTTTGAAGTCTTCGCTCTTGACCACACAGCATGCAGGGGCAGAAGATCACTTCCTGCGCTGAGTCACCCTCCTGAGCCTGCTTTCACAAATCTGTAGCTACAGGGACACACTTCCAAACGCTGTTTCCCACAGTTCTTTACTACCCGCACACTTGCTGCACCTTATAGCCACTTCAGTGCTTTATTTATTTAAAGGAGTAGTTCATGCAAAAATGTTGCTGTTATTTACTCACCGTGATGTTGTCTAGACCCATAAATCTTACTTTCTTCTGTGGAATACAAAATATGTGTTTTTGAAGATTATTGTCTATTAAATATAATGAAAGTGAGTGAGGACTGGGACTGGTAAGCTCAAAAATTACAAAACAAAAGCACTGTAAAAGCCATACAAGTTAGGAATGACATGAGGGTGAGTAAATGATGACAAAATTTTCATTTATGAGTGAACTATCCCTAGGGCTGCACTCGTCTGCGATTTTTTTTTTTTGCGTAACTTGTCAGTGAACTACGGCTATGTGTAGTAAATTCTGCTCCATCTGAAAGCACGTGATGATGATTTCCTGCTGATTACAGAACCGGCATTACTATCAAAATGCGCATGACAATCGCATTCGATTAATCGTGCAGCCCTAACTATCCCTTTAATAAAGTTTTATGGTTCAGACGTCAATACAGCCCCTTAAAATGACAATTTAATCCATTGATTAATCACTTGATTGATTGCTTCTGCTTGTATTATTCTCATTTGTAAGTCACTCTGGATACAACAATCTATAAATGCAAATGTGAATATGATTATTCTTAATGTAAGTCACGTGCACGCACACCTTTGTTAGTATCAGAGAGGTCAGTCCATGGAATTTACCTCCCGCTTTCTTTGTGGTTGTAGATTTAAGGATATTCTTTGTATTTATTTGAAAGATAAATTTTGTTATAATGTAAAAGTATTTATTGTCACTTTTGATTGATTTGATGTGTCCATACTAATTAGAAGTATTAATTTCTTAAAAAATAAATAAATACAAATTGACCCCAAACTGTGGTAGTGCAAAAATAATGAAAACGCAAAATCAACAAAAATAAATATATCCTCATTTGTGTAGCTAAATAAATGCATGTGCCTAAATATTTGTTGACAGAAAGGGGCTTTCACTTGATTTAGACATAAACTGACCAGTTCACATACTATAGATTAAAGGGATAGTTCACCCAAGGATTAAAATTGTCATCATTTACGTTGTTTCTTCTGCCGAACACATAAGAAGGTATTTTGAAGAATATTTGTAATTAAACAATTTTGATGAGCATTGACTTCCACTGTTTGGACAAAAACACAGAGATATTTCTCAAAATATCTATTTTTATGTTCTGGATTAGGAATAAAGTCATACAGGTTAGGAACAACAAATAATGACAACATTTTTAAACATTTTTTTGAATGAGCTATCCCTTTAAGTTATGACCGTTTTTATCACTTAAATATGATGCAGCCAAATGTTTCTCATTAAACTGTCAGATTGACTGCTGCAGAAAAGAATTATGAATGCTCATCTTGGAACTGTTTCTGTCCATGTTTCTGTCCAAGGTGCCCTAGAATGGAAAACTGTATTTACCTTGGCATAGTTGAATAATAACTGTACTGGGAAATGACATACCGTGAGCCTCAAACACAATTGTTTCCTCCTTCGTATGTAAATCTCGTGCATGCAAAAGACCACTGAAAAATAGGCGAATCAGAACATAACACCGACTGTGACGTTACAGTCGGGATCACTAATAGTTACGCCCCCAACATTTGCATATACCCGCCCATGTTCTATGCCAGCCGAACCTGCACAGCCGAATCATCAGAAGTTCTGCAGGTAAAGCGAGGATAATAGCGAAAATGGCAAATCATGGAAATAAATGTTATGTTCCAGGCTGTGCAGGGGATGTGATGTGCAGGGATGGGTTGGTGTCTGTATTCAGAAAGGCACGGAAAACAAATAACGCGCGTTCTAATAAAATAACGGGACATGTAAAACCGTTTCTGGAGATTTTTTGCCCTTACCTAAGCCACATACCTTCTATGTAGATATCAGAGAACAATTTAAAATATTGTATCAATGCATGCTATGGCACCTTTAAAACACTCCCATTTCTTTGAGCCTTATCACTGATAAAATACTTTTTCTCTGTACTTTTTTTTAATCTGACAGGTTGGCATTGCTACATCTGTTGGCCAGAAAGAGACAAATGACGAACATGTGGGCCGTCTTGAATAGAGGACACATCTCTCTCGTTATCTGTGTCAGTGCGCATGTCTCAGCAGCCACGATGTGTGTGGCCCTCTTTCTCACTGTATATTATGCCCTACTGACAGAGGATAATTAGATATCATCCGTATTCACCCAGCTGCAACATGTAATGTGGAAAAAAGCATTTAAAGATTTAATTTCTGTGCTTCTCCCCTGATTTATGGCCTGGCGTCAGAAATTCTGTTCTATTCTGCTCAGCACGAAGCGTGGTAACACTAAACGAGGCCTTATTATGATGTTCAGCATGGCGCTGTTTTTGTAAACAAGGCAAATCAAGTCAAACCGATTTCACCGTTCCCTCTAAATGGACTGTGTCACTTAACCGGGCATTAGTGTAATGCAATCCGCTATCTAATTCCCTACTTACCGTTCATCGTGATGAAAGTTCATCGATTCATTATTTGTGCTTTGAGTCTTTGTCATTTTTATTGACCTGCTTTTTAAAGGCCATAATTGATAACTGCTCTTTCCTGTGCAAGATAACCATGAAATCAAAACAGACTGTATAAACCCGGACTAATATTCGACTTCTGTCCCCAGGAGGACTGTGACCCTCCCATCCACGAGAGCTTGAGTATTGAGAACACCCTGTGGGCCAGCACTGTGGTGGCATCTGGTAAGCAAAGTCTTTTCCAGCCCCAAATTTCTTTCATGGAAATATAAGAAAAGCACAAGCCTCAGAGGTCTGAAATATTCATCACAGGTCAAATATCTTTTGAGTTTATTGTGTTGTAGAAGAGTGTGCCGTTGATACCGAGGCGATCCGCCAGCATCACTCAAGACCCCCTTCGTTCTCCCGTTTGTTTGTCACTTGAGATCGCCAGACTCATCTGCTACTATTCAAACAATCTCATGAGCAGAGAAATATGAGGAGCCGTTAATGGGAAGCCAAAGTGTCTGGCTTTTTGCAGTCCTGTCCCTGCGGTGTCAATGAAACATGTCCCTAAAGAACAGGTCCGAGATCGGTTTTTGCCACTACGCTTTCTCCAACATCTCCTAGGGGTCTGTTGTTTAGAATCTGATCCCAGTCCAACAATAACACACGTGCTGTGTGAGCTACTGAAATGAGCCGCACTGTGAAACAGCCAATCAGAGCAGAGCTCAACATTATTATTCATGACCCTTCCAAATAAGGTAAAAACAGGCCATTTAATTCTAGGGACAAATCCTAGGGTTGTAAATGGACATGTAAAACCGTTTCTGGAGATTTTTTGCCCTTACCTAAGCCACATACCTTCTATGTAGATATCAGAGAACAATTTAAAATATTGTATCAATGCATGCTATGGCACCTTTAAAACACTCCCATTTCTTTGAGCCTTATCACTGATAAAATACTTTTTCTCTGTACTTTTTTTTAATCTGACAGGTTGGCATTGCTACATCTGTTGGCCAGAAAGAGACAAATGACGAACATGTGGGCCGTCTTGAATAGAGGACACATCTCTCTCGTTATCTGTGTCAGTGCGCATGTCTCAGCAGCCACGATGTGTGTGGCCCTCTTTCTCACTGTATATTATGCCCTACTGACAGAGGATAATTAGATATCATCCGTATTCACCCAGCTGCAACATGTAATGTGGAAAAAAGCATTTAAAGATTTAATTTCTGTGCTTCTCCCCTGATTTATGGCCTGGCGTCAGAAATTCTGTTCTATTCTGCTCAGCACGAAGCGTGGTAACACTAAACGAGGCCTTATTATGATGTTCAGCATGGCGCTGTTTTTGTAAACAAGGCAAATCATGTCAAACCGATTTCACCGTTCCCTCTAAATGGACTGTGTCACTTAACCGGGCATTAGTGTAATGCAATCCGCTATCTAATTCCCTACTTACCGTTCATCGTGATGAAAGTTCATCGATTCATTATTTGTGCTTTGAGTCTTTGTCATTTTTATTGACCTGCTTTTTAAAGGCCATAATTGATAACTGCTCTTTCCTGTGCAAGATAACCATGAAATCAAAACAGACTGTATAAACCCGGACTAATATTCGACTTCTGTCCCCAGGAGGACTGTGACCCTCCCATCCACGAGAGCTTGAGTATTGAGAACACCCTGTGGGCCAGCACTGTGGTGGCATCTGGTAAGCAAAGTCTTTTCCAGCACGAAATTTCTTTTATAGAAATATAAGAAAAACACAAGCCTCAGAGGTCTGAAATATTTATCACAGGTCAAATATCTTTTGAGTTTATTGTGTTGTAGAAGAGTGTGCCGTTGATACCGAGGCGATCTGCCAGCATCACTCAAGACCCCCTTCACTCTCCCGTTTGTTTGTCACTTGAGATCGCCAGACTCTTCTTGCTTCTATTCAAACAATCTCATGAGCAGAGAAATATGAGGAGCCGTTAATGGGAAGCCAAAGTGTCTGGCTTTTTGCAGTCCTGTCCCTGCGGTGTCAGTGAAATGTGTCCCCAAAGAACAGGCCCGAGATTGGTTTTTGCCGCTATGTTTTCTCTGACATCTCCTAGGGGTCTGTTGTTTAGAATCTGATCCCAGTCCAACAATAACAGCAGTACTATTCCTTCAAGCGGCCTGCGTTTGTGCCAGCGATCAGCCCTTCATTGATCTGTGGTTGCCCCTGTCTTGGTTCTCCAGGGGTTTTTAGAGGTTCTTCTTATTCCCCACCATGGTGTGACCTTCATCCAAAGAAAGTCCTTCCATATCTCCCCACAAAACACAGTCTGGTGACGTCATTCCATCCAGCCAAGCAGACCCAACACAAAACACCATGGGGCGAGTAACCGATATGCCCTGTAGTCCTAGCCCATTAAAGACCCCCTTGAGAGCAGCCTAGGATTCATTGCTTTCCAAACATGAAACGATGTCAAGCTTAAAGAAATTGAGAAATATTTAAGCTCTGTTGCAGCACGTTTTATATTGTGTTACTTAGGGGTGTAACGATATGGCAATGCCACTGTTCGGTTCATATCACGGTTTTGGAGCCACGGTATGGTTCGGTTTGGTTCTGTTTGCTGTGGGGGTAGGGTTCATGGCATATCACCAGAAACGCTAAAGAACACTAGATTCACTTTTAACTTAATAATAATTATAATAATGATTGCTCTCTGTTCATGTTAATTAATGTATTAACAAATGATACTTTAAAAATTGTTGCTTTGTAAAGTGTTATCAAAAAAATCTATTGCCTTAAAAAAATGTAAATAAAATAATGCAAACAAGTCATTGGACAACATTACTTAGGCTACATATAAAAAAATGCATGTGCCATGGATAAATAAAATGGAATAGCCGGACAATAAGGAAATTATTTTAATCATTAATGTAATAACTAAATCTGACACTCAAGAATCGCGAGCTGTTTGAGAGGTGGCTGTGTGCTCTTTGGCTGAGAGCGCATTGAAGACTGTCTTACAGTTTCACAAAAGGCTGTGAGTGACTGCACAAGCGAACTTGACTGTGCTAGTCATGAAGATATAACTCTGTGGACGCATTCTTTCCATTACAGTGCGCTGAAACATGGCATATTCTTTTACAGTAGTTTTTCATTATAATTTTATGTAGATTTGACAGATGTGACAGATTTCTGCATTTGTTGCCCTTAATGGTACCTTCCTTTTCAAAGTGATTCGAGCAATTCAAAACCATCATGGCCATACGTGTTTGAAGTGCCTCAGCAGCAGGTAGGCCAAGAGAGTTTCGCCGTACGTACCATGGTTCTTCGGTTCGATTTGAATATTGTTACACCCCTAATGTTACTGTGTTTAAACAAAAGTGGAACTTCACTGCTTCCTCGTTTAGTGGTGAGGCTGCATACTCCATCAGTAATTAGTTTACTTTAATGAATCAGTCCATTACCAAAGCAGCACCATTGATCTGACTATAATAGGCCTCATTGTAATGGTTTATTTCTGGGTGTCCCACATATTGAATCATTTGTCTGAGTCCCAGCTGCATCCGTTAACTGGAAACACACTTTTTAAGCTAATTGTTCATTTATTGTCGTCCGTTTGCAATCAGTCATCCAATTTGTCCTTTTTTTTTTTTTTTTAATAGGTACTGTCATAGGTGTGGTCATATATACGGGAAAAGAAATGAGAAGCGTGCTGAACACGTCACAGTCCAAAAACAAGGTGGGTTTGTTTGTCTTTGTTTGTGTTTATAAGTAAAATACTTGGTTTCTTTAATTAGTTTTCCTCCCAAAGGCTAATTGTTTGGGAAAAAACACAGACACACACAATTTAATGACATGTAAGTATGAGCTGTGATATCTACAGTTGTATTATCAATACGCACTAGACATTGCCCAGGGACTGTTTTTCCCTTTAACCTTTCAATATAGAATTGAAACGAGCCGAATAAAAATAGCAAACAGTTGAGGTGGTTTTCAACCCTGATCTTAGTGACGAATTTGGACAGGACAACCCCAGAGAGATTAATCTAGAGGGAAATTAACCAACCAAGGGCTTGCGTGACATTTGTGGCAGAGACTTAATCCTGCAGAATTCCCCTTAATGATTAGAATAGAGTGGACGTCAATGCTGTAAAATTAAACTTAAAAACGTCAAATCCCATTACACTCATTACCCCTCCCTTAACTGACCCCTGCTGTCTTTGGCTTTTTTTTTTCTTTTTTAAACTTATCCACATGGTTCAGAGCTCTGACATTGTTCTGCTTGTATGTGCACTACTGTTAAAAAAATGTGGGGTCGGTAAGATTTTTTTGTTGTTGTTTTTTAAAGGAAGTCTCTTATGCTCAACAAGACTGCATTTATTTTATAAAAAAAATACAGTAAAACTGTAATATTGTGAAATATTATTTTAATTTAAAACAGTTTACTGTTTAAATATATTTTAAAATGTGATTTATTCCTGTGATGGCAAAGCTGAATTTTTTTAGCAGCCATTACTCCAGTCTTAAGTGTCACATAATCCTTCAGAAATCATTCTAATATGCTGATTTGATCCTCAAAAAATAATTTCTTATTATTATCAGTTGAAAACAGTTCTGTTGCTTACTATTGTTGTGGAAACTGTATTAGATTTTTTTTCAGTATTCTTTGATAAAAAAAAGTAGAAAATAGAGTAGGAAAAAAGTCTGCTCTCTTTTTTCTACTCTATTTTGATACAGTAGAAAAAAGGCATTATTTAAAAATATAAATCTTTTGTAACATTATAAATGTCTTTACTGTTAGAAAAAAAAAAGTGCTGACCCCAAAGTTAATCAGATTTATCTACCCATCTCCGTTTCCTTTCATGACTTGCTAGGCATGCTGCAATAGTCTGTGTTAAGCCGCAACACCGGCTACATCACTTGCCCATCGCGGCACCACCCACCACCGTCGTTTTTATTTTTTTTATAGTAATAAAAATAATTTGGTTCAGTTAGAGAACAGAGACTACAATTAAAAACTGAATGTGGCTGCTCAATGCAGCGTGCCGAACGACAGTCGCATCACAGATCAGCAGGAGCAGGAGTCAGATTTCATTTATCACATGAGGAGAGTGAGTCGAGCTGACTGACAAGAAGAGTGAGATGAGAAAGACAAGACGATGGCAGAAGATTTAGTTTCAAACAGAAATGCAAAAGCACCTGTTTGGCAATATTTTGGATTTTGAAAAGCCTGTTGACTTTTGCCGTTTATCTAAGGTGATTTTGGAAGTTTTTTTTTAAATATTCATTTCTTATTTATTTGGTTCCACAGTGTTTGCTTATTTTTACTTTATTTAAACTTTGTGTAATTATTTATTTTATTTGACATCAAGGTGTATGCTGTGCCTCCAACTTTCTTATTCGTTTTGCTAATAAATGTTCTATAGCCCATTTCTTATTTATTTGGTTCCACAGTGTTTGCTGATTTTCTTTCTCTTTTTTTTTTAAACTTTGTGTAAGTTATTTTATATTAGGCCTATAGCATGGTGTATTTTTAT